TGTATGTATGTATGTATGTGTGAGTTATAAACCTTGGAAAAGAATAGTCTTGCACAACTTTTTCCGTGTTGCCACTCTTGAATCAATGAGGCTTCACTTTTACCATATCCAATATGGTGGCGACGTCAACGTACGATTCAGCGCCCAATGAGGAATCAACATATATTTGTCTATCAGTAGGTCCTCATGACTCATCGAGACTACCTCATTGGTTCATTGTGGTTGACTGCTGGTCACATGGCCTCAGGGTGGAATTATGGGTAAAAAAAATAGTGTTCATTGTTAATTATTTCGGTTAGCCGTTTAGCATTGTTCTTTTAGTGATTAGTCTGTTCTTGTTAGCCTAGCTTACGTGTTCATTATTTGTTAAGTTTGAGTTAGGCCATTCAGTAGAGTAACCATGAGCTCATGAAGACCTGTGTGGTTCACTCTTGTCTGTGTATGTTGAAAAGAAAAATAAAAGTCTGTGAAACTTCCATCTGGTAGCTGATTTTTGATCTACAACAAGAGCTGCACATCTCCCTCAGTAGCTGTGTGCTGCTACTCAACGTGAACACCCACAACTTATACACAAGCACGGCTTATACACTAGCATGTCTTATATACTGTATATACGTTTTTTATTTTTATTTCTTTTTTGTTTTTTGTGCACGGCTTATATTTGGGTGTGCTCTATACACCGGCAATTACGGTATATTCGAAGCAAGGAAACTTCTAAATTCCACGTTGTAAAGCAGAACAACAAAATGACAACAAATGCCCAACTACCTAGAAATACCATCTCACCTTGTGAGTTTCCTGCAGTATTCATCACCCCAAACCCAGAACTTCCCACATTGGCCTTCAGGGCATGGTGTTGGGAGTAAGTGCGAGCAAAGTGGGCCAGCGGGCAGATCACATTATGGTCCCCCACAATGTCATCCATGGCATCACGATTCTTCACCCCATTATTTTCATCCATCCAGTCGGTGTATTGCAACACCACAGCCTCTACGCCAATATCGTTAGCATGCGGTACACTCATTCGGACGCCTAGCAGAGTCAGAAGGTTATGGCATAAACCTGTGGTTCATTTCAACAACATAGACAGGACGTCTTTCCTCTGAGTTTCCATGTGTGAGCACTTTACCTTCCAGGAAGTCATCTTTAGAAATGAGGCTCTCATTATCCTTGCTAAATCCTGGTGCTCCGTACAACAGGAAGTAGGAACCTTCATCTTGGTTGACCCCAAGAAGAATCTGAGTGTCTTTGAAATTGCCAGCATTCAACATGGCCTCAGGAGTGTCAGGCAGAACCTCACCATCCACAACAGGTACAAACGAAAACCGGAAAAGAGCCGGCCACGGCAGAACCTGATTGGGATTAAGAAAACAAAAGAAAAGTGCATCCATGAGTTGACATGTCTTCTTCCTTTCATTAAGATCAAGTCTAGAATAAGAAAAGTGAGTGAGTTTGGACCCAGAGAACAACTTGATTTACATGCGAGAAGTCTCACAGTAACCGTCCTTTGATTCCACTAAACATAGAATAACTCAGGGACACCAATGGTCAAACAGCTGTCACTAGTGGCTGAAAGGGCTCCCAGTCAATCAGTCTGAACCTGGTTATTCTGGTTTTGATAAACAGACTGGAGACAAAAAGAAAAGCAGCAGCTTTATAGGGTCATATATGTGGGGGCTACATCAAAACCATCAGCATCTCCAAAACCCATTTTACTTACAGGCCTCAGCATGAATGTTTTGTCCCAGGGAAAACTCCTAATTGTCTACAGAGGTGATCAGGTCTTTAGTTGTTCTCAGGTCTAGACTGGTCCACAGTAGTTCAAGGTTCGAGGTTCTTTATTGTCATTCGCATCACATGTGGTACATGAGGTGGAACAAAATTGTGTACTCAAGGTCCCAGTCACACCCAAAAATAGCAAAAATATAAAGTTTAAACAAAGAAACAGTATACAAGGATCTAAGATATACGCTAAACACTAATAATGTAATAAAATATGGTGTATTAAACAGCAGCCTGAACATGAGTCTGTTGTGGGCAGATGGGTATGAATATAACAGCTTAAAGGCAAGAAATCAGCAGCATAGATAATCAGCAGCACAGATAAAGTGACATATCACCAATTAAAGTGTCATTACTGTCTTTGGTGATTAAATGATCAGGTGTATACTTTTTCTCAGGTCCACACTGGTCCACAGCAGTGATCAGGTCTTTAGTTGGCCTCAGGTCCAGACTGGTTGACATGATTTTAATTCTCTCATGACAAATTCCCTCATTTCTCACCATTTCAGTCATGGCATCAATGGAGGAGGAGGAAGAGATTGCTTGCCTCTTGGGGGGGAGGGGGGAGAAGGCCATTAAACCAGATCAGGGATAAAGAAGGGGAATTTAATACATTGGTGTCGCATACAAAACAGTCTGTCGCCGGGCAATTTATTGTGCGACACAGAGTACGTGTATGCAGTCGTAAAAATTCAGCTTTGCACGGATATGCCCTGTGGGCGTCCGCTTCGACTCTAATCCAGTACGCACGGACCTCCGCGGACCCACGTACGCGGGAGTATACTGGAGCCTTAAGATGCTCAGGTCCAAAAACTAAATCATCAGTCTTGTCTGTGTTCAAAAGTAGAAAATTTAGGGTCATCCAAGTTTTATGTCTTTAAGACATGCTTCTAGTCTAAGTAACTGATTGGATTCATTGGGTTTTATGGACAAATATAATTGTGTGTCATCAGCATGAGAATGAAAATGTATCCCATGCTGTATAATAACATTCCTTAATGGAAGCATATACACGGTAAAGAGTACTGGTCCGAGCACTGAACCTTGAGGAACTCCATAACCAACTTTGGTGTATGATGAAGATTTATTATTTACATTTACAAACTGGAATCTATCAGATAGATGTGATTTAAACCAATTTAGAACCATTCTTGCAATTACAATATCATATTCAATATCATATTCAAGCCTCTGTAGTAAAATATTATGATTAACTATCAAATGCAGCACTGAGGTCTAACAGGACCAGTGTAGACACCAGCTGTCAGAGGCCATGAGAATATGATTAATGACTTTCACCAGTGCAGATTCAGTGCTGTGGTGAGCTCTAAACCCTGATCGAAACTTTTCAAACAGATTATTTCTTTGCAGATGATCACGTAACTGACCAGCAAATATTTTCTCTAGAATTTTTTAGATGAAAATTAGATTAGATATAGGTCTGTAACTGGCTAGGCTTACTGAATCAAGGTTATGTTTCTTAAGTAAATGTTTAATTACTAAACAGTTGTCCTATATGGGTGTGCACCTGAATGACAACCTCATCTGGGGCAACAACACTACCAGTTCGATAAAGAAGGCACATCAGAGACTCTACTTCCTCAGGCAGCTGAGGCGAGCTGGTCTGGGAAGCTCAGTCCTCAGTGTACCAAATTTCATGCTTCTACGACAAATTAAGGTTAATACGGAGGGTATTTTGAAAATTTCCAGGTGGTGCTCTTGAGCCGTTTCTCTTGCAATTATTGCGGCACTCTTAAAATACGTAATTTTTCAGCAGTCCTGATGCGTCCGCCAAATTTAGTGAGTTTTGGGATATGTTAAGGCCCCCAAAAGGCCAATTCATTTGACGGAAAAATTCCTCGGGTCTATTGAACTGAGCGATTACGATAGGCCTCCGCAGCGCTTCGCTGCTCGGGCCTAATTAACATGGCATTACAGTGGTTATTCTGGTTAGATATTCATGAGTCTAACAGCCTCAGAGTATAAGCTATTCCTCAGTCTAGTGTTTCTACACTTCATGCTCCTCAACCTCCTGCCTGAGGGGAGCGGGGCAAAACGTGTGTGTGTGTTGGTTGAGTGGGGTCCTTCATGATGCAGGTGGTCCTCTTCCTGCATCTGGAGGTCTAAATGTCTATGTGGTGGGGAGGCTGACTCCAACAGACTTCTGTGCAGCCTTCACCATTTTCTACAAAGCTTTCCTCTCTCCAGCAGACCAGCTCCCGTGCCACACATTGATGCTGGAGCACAGGATGCTCTGCACTGCACTTGTCCAATTCCCCAAGACGCACAGAAAACCCTCTGGCACCAACGTTGTACGATAAACAGGAAGGCAGCTATTGTGGAATGCCGTCTCAAATTTCACACCTTTTTGGCGGTTTACAGCCTCCGCATTTGAACAAACTCTTCCTAGAGATTTCGCTCAATCGGTTTCAAACTTGGCTATTTTGGTCAAAAGGCATGGGGGATGAAAATGTATCTAAACGGTTCGTTTCGGAGCATGATGAAGGGGCGGGGCCAGAACTCAAAGTTTGACATCTCGCCATGAAAAACGAAACGCTAATAGCTCCTACATGAAAACAGTCTGAAACATCAAACCTTCAGTGATTGATCCACATCTGGTCCCCTGCAAGACTAAATGGTCAAATAATGACATAACTTAAGCCACGCCCCCTGAGAACAGGAAGTGTAAAGTTTTACATTGAATGGTCCCTATCTGACCCCTGTGAACTAATCAGCATGATAGTGTGTCCAGTGACCAAAGACATGTTGGTGTTACTTGCTTTCCAACACTGACAGTTTTGGGTGGAGCATATGGGCGGCATGGCATGGCGAAGAAAGACATAACGCCGTCGCCATACGTTTGGCTCTAAAGTGCACAGATTTGAGCCGAGGTGCACCAAAATCAGTTGGATCGATCATTATCCACCCCTTGAATGCTGATTATCCATGCTGCTAAGTTCTTACCCAAAAGCTGCTATATTCATACCCATCTGCTTACAACAGACTCATGTTCAGGCTGCTGTTTAATACACCGTATTATATTATATTATTGTTTAGCATATATCTTAGATCCTTACATCATGTTTATTATTTTACACTTCATATTTTTGTTATTTTTGGTTGTAACTTGAACCTTGGGTACACAATTCCATTCCACCTCATGTACCACAAGTGATGCGAATGACAAAGTCACCTTGAACCTCGACACAAAGGAGATGTTTGACACACACTGAATCACTCTGCTTCAGAACTGCAGGTTCTGCTCTGCCTCTTTGGTTCTGATGGACCGGATTAATTTCTGAAACTCACCTCTGAAGGGGACATGGATGCTTGTGATTTATGAACCGTTCAGAGTTGTATTCACTTACAACGTTGTCACACTACAGACAGTCTTACAGTGTCAGTGTATGATAAAAGTTTAGCGCTTTAGAGTTAGTTTCTGCTATTTTTTATTTTTATTTTTAGCAATATCCATCCATCCATCCATCCATTATCTTTACCCGTTTATTCCATTTTGGGTCACGGGGGTCGCTGGTGCCCATGTCCAGCAATCACTGTGCGAGTGGCGGGGTACACCCTGGACGGGTCGCAAGTCCATCACAGAGCCACATAGAGACAAACGAGACAAACAACCATTCACTCTCTCACTCACACCTAGGGACAATTTAGAGTTACCAATCAGCCTAACATGCATGTTTTTGGTCTGTGGGAGGAAACCGGAGTACCCGGAGAAAACCCACGCATGCACGGAGAGAACATGCAAACTCCACCCAGAAGGCCCCTGGACCGGGGTTTGAACCAGGGACCTGTTCGCTGAGAGGCAGCAGCTCTACCAGTTGCGCCACCGTGCTGCCCTATATTTTTAGCAATATCATTTGTTTCTATTTTTTAATATCTTGGGATTAGGTTTATGCAAGTAAGACTTAAATATAGGGTTGAGTTATGCTACTTGTGTTTTAATTTGATCGGTTCCCCTGTGTTCCTCTGTGCCATCAGCCACTCTTTCCTCAGCTTGTCTGTTTTTACATTTGTGCCCCGTTCACTTCCACACATGTCCCAGCTGTTATTTTGCTCTGGTGTCTCCACTTCATCAGCCTCAGTCCATTTATTGTCCATTTCCTCTTTTCCATCAGCGGTGCATGTTTGGTTTACATGCAGTTTTTTCCTAGTGTATTCTCATGAAGATGTTTGTTTTGTTAGTTTTGCTGTCACATCAGCAGTTTGTTTTTGTTTACAAATAAGTTTAGCTCTTTTTATCGAAGCCCCTCTCATGTTGGTCTGCATCCTTGGGCCAAGCATAACACAACAGCAACAGTAGAAGCTGCTTTTCAAGATGCATCTTTGACAGTAGTAAGTGAAACACCCGATATGTTGTGACATTTTCTGTTAGTCAAACCAGTCTTTAAAAGTCTGTATGACAGGAGGGAAAGAATTAAACACATTTACCCGCCATTCTTGGTCAATGAGTTCTTGTGGACTTTTATTGCGTAGACAGTCTACCAGCTCGGTGTCGTTGCCTCCGTAACAATCTGTAAGTTTGGCGAGAAGTGTAGCCCGTCTTCTGGCTTCAGCAGGGCTGACTGAAGCCCAGGGACAGTTGGGGACCCCACTCTGGAGGATGGCCCTGGTGAACAAAGGCCTGCTGTCTGGAGCCAAAAGGTGAAATCCTACTGAGGCAGCACCTGCACTCTCTCCAAAGATGGTCACCTGTTTCAAAGAAAAAAGGAAAAGACAAGAGTGAGACCTGATTAAAAACTGTCTGTCTGTAATAACTGCATAAAAGCAACTCGATTAATGCAGAAAAGACTAAACCTGTTTGGAATTTCCACCAAATAAATGGATATTGTCTTGCACCCACTGCAGCGCCAATCTTTGGTCCAACAGACCCACGTTCCCAGGAGCTTCAGAGGAGCCGTGCAGCGCCAGAAAGCCAAAAGCACCAATCCGGTAGTTCATAGAAACTACAATGACTGTCTCAGTGTGGGCAAGGTAGCGGCCATCATACACATCCAGTGAAGAAGAACCGCTGTAGAACCCTGTAAATGTTAAATGGCATGGGTTAATAGCAGGTCATATTTTCTAAACTTCAATAAACTGTTTACAAAAGTTTAAACTGTAAACGCTACACAAATCTAGAAAATACAAATAAATATTGTACTTTCCGGTCTATAAGTTGCTACTTTGTTCACAGGCTTTGAACCCCGCCGCTTACACAATGCTGCGGCTAATTTATGGATTTTTTTTTTGACAGGCTAACAAGCTTCCTGCCATCAAAAACATTTAGTGTCGTCACACTCTGGCGCACACATAGTTGCCCAATACACGTCTCTCGAGGGGTGGGTTCTCGTGACTTTATTTTACTGTATAACACAGACAGACAAGGTAGTGGAGTTGGGGTGAGATTCCCCTGCACAGTTTTCCTGAATCCCCACTCCCCGTTCTCTCCTCCCCTCTGTTTCATTGGTTCGACTGTGACCTGTTTGGTAATTTTATTGGTCAGATTTTTTTAAACATTTATTTTTACAGATAGTCTTGGGGTGGGTCCTTGTGACTCAATGAGACAACTTCATTGGTTCATTGTGGTTGACTGCCAGTCACATGGCCTCAGAGAAGAATTATGGGTAAAATTTATGTTCATTGTTAATCATTTCAGTTAGCTGCGTATCGTTGTTCTTTTAGTGATTAGTCTGTTCTTAGTTTATGTGTTCATTATGTGTTAGTGTTAGGTCATTCAGTAGAGTAACCATGAGTGAGGGAGGTACCGTATTTTCCACCGTACACGTCGCTCCACCCTATAAGTTGCATCAGTCCATATTTGTCTAATAAAGTGGACAAATCCATAAATATGTTGCTTCGCCGTATACGTCGTACTTATTATGCGTCAACGCTGACGCATCGCGTTTGTTATGCGTCACCGCTGACAACCCAGAAATGTGCGCCGAACCTGGAAATGTGGGCCGGTGTTGTGCCAAAAATCGATGGGCTGCCAAATGGCGGCTGTGAGAGCATGCATGGGAAGACTTTTACAATAATTTAACAAGATTAACACTTAAAAACAATTATTTGTTTGCTCAAAATTATAGTAAAGGTGTGTCTCAATCTAACATTTGCTTAATAAATGCGCTTTGACGGTCAAATCAGCTGTATTTCAAAAGCCGATACGTTGAAGTAAATGCGTGCACGCGACAAGTCGCTGTACAAATTTAACAAGATAAACATCTAAACAATGATTTGTTTGCTCGAAATTATAGCAAAGGTGTGTCTCAGTGTAACGTTTGCTTAATAAATGCACTTTAATGGTCAAATTAGCTGCATTTCAAAAATAGTTTCACTGCCTCGGTGCTCCCGGGAGCACGCAGACAGGGAGAAAAAAAAAGGAGGAACGCTGCTCGTGTAATTGAAATTTAACAAGAAAAGCACCTAAACAATTATTTGTTTCCTCGAAATTATAGCAGCGGTGTGTCTCAGCCTAACGTTTGCTTAATAGATGCACTTTAATGGTCAAATCAGCTGTATTTCGCTGGGGTGGTGCAACTGGTTTGACGGTTGGTCCAAGCAGCGAGCAGAATGAAGGTGGGGAAACTATGGCAAGCAGACTGAGTCATTAATAGCTGGTGAAGATTCTCAGTCATCCAGGACATAGTAAATAAAAAATAAAAAAAATTAAGAAAAATACAATAAAGTATAAAGTGTTTTTGTCTTGAACTTTTTTGAATTTGTCATTATAGCCACGTTTACCTATTACATGATACAACGGCACGCCTTAATGCTACTAACACTCTGCTGCCATATAATGGCTGAAAGTGGTACTGCTCAATTTTTTTTTCCATCAGAATGAATGAAAACATTCATATCTCAGCTAAAAATTTGCTTATAATTATGGGGAAAAAAATCCAAAAATATGTTGCTTCGGCTTATAAATTGCAGGGCATGTAAATTATGAAAAAAAGTGTGACTTACAAGCTGAAAAATACAGTAGTTGTCACGAAGACCTGTGGCGTTCACTCTGTCTGCATGTTGAACAGCAAGATATTCTATAAAACATGATCTGGTGGTCGATTCTGGATGTACAACAAGAGCTGCACATCTCTCTCAGTAGCTGTGTGCTGCCACTCATTACAATGTGAACACATGCAGCTTATATATGTACAAAACTGTGTTTTTATTTAAATTCAGTGTGTGTGGCTTATATTCGGGTGCACTCTGTAGACCGTAATTGTGGTACATAACATAATGCCTTTTAGATCTTTCTATTAATTATCAATGGTCAAGGTGTTTGTGGCTCAAGGGAAGGGTAAATTATGAACACGACCAGGGATGGAAATTAGCACCCGCCACTGGCCAAATGCAGGTAAATGTTTGAAGTGACGTGTAAATTTGAACAAGGCAACAGCCACTGTGGCAGGTTTGCAATTTGAAAAAAAAAATAATAATAATTTGTTCATCCAAAAAAGTTCAATCTGGTCCTCTGGACATTCAAAAAAACAAAACAAAGCAAAAAAAATCTAGAAACGTTTTGTCTCTCATCCAAGAGACTTCCTCAGTCTGAGGTGCTGTTTTCAGCTCAGTCTCTTAAATAGCACCTTCTCAGAGTGGATCAAGAAGTTTGCTGCTGACAACCAAAACCAGCTGATCACATGTTCAAGAAGGACCATCAGCCTAACAATGGGTCATTAACACACTGATGGCTGTTTACTGTTCACAGAGGGCTGAGTGATACTAGCAATCACAGCATTGTAAGAGGGGGACAGTTGAACCCGGAGGCCTCCACCCCTGTTTAATGATGGACGATTTC